AATACCAGGTGCCTGCGTGTGCAAATACCAGGTGCGTGCGTGCGTGTATAAATACCAGGTGCGTGCGTGTACAAATGGTAGGTGTGTGCGTGCGTGCGTGCATAGATACCAGGTGCATGCATGCGTGTACAAATACCAGGTGCGTGCGTGCGTGTACAAATACCAGGTGCGTGCGTGTATAAATACCAGGTGCCTGCGTGTGCAAATACCAGGTGCGTGCGTGCGTGTATAAATACCAGGTGCGTGCGTGTACAAATGGTAGGTGTGTGCGTGCGTGCGTGCATAGATACCAGGTGCATGCATGCGTGTACAAATACCAGGTGCGTGCGTGCGTGTACGCACGCACCTGGTATTTATGCGTGTATAAATACCAGGTGCGCGTGTATAAATACCAGGTGCGTGTGTGTATAAATACCAGGTGCGTGTGCCGCAGCAGCGCGACGCCGTTGACGCAGCGATGCAGACGCCTCCAGACGGCGTCGCCGTCACCGGAAGCGGTGTTGCCGGAGGTGTTACCGGAAGTGGTGCCGGATATGTTGCCGGGTGTGCCACCGGAAGTACCGCCTGAACCGGGGCCGGACGTCGCACAGGAAGTCGTGTTCAGTATCGCGTGGATCGCGTGCGCGAACGCGTACACGGCGTCGTGCAGCAGCGACGGGCTAACGAGCGCGTCGGCGGGCGCGTACGGCGTCGCCGCGCACGAGCCGTCGGCAAACGAGCAGGCGAGCTCCGTCTCCCAGACGCGTCGCAGCCAGGCACTGGAGGCGGCGATCGAGCGCGCTCCGCCAACATCGTCGACCATCCACTGCCGAAATCCCGGCACGTCGTTCGTGCGCGGAGAGAAAAGGAACGCTCCGGCGATCGCCGCCTCGACGACGGCGAACTCCGACAGCGACCTGGCGAAGACGTCCGAGCCGACGACGACGAAGCGGCCGACGAGGTCGCGCCGGTAGATGGCGCGCGCCAGCTCGACGCTCTGGCTCTCGAAGAGGAACGCGACGAGCACGCGAGCGCCGCTGCGCGCCAGCGACGTGACGAGAGCGTCGTAGCGCGACGCGGGCCAGTGCATATCGACGGACTCTCTGTGCGCGAAGCAGATGTCCTTGTCGTGGATGGCGACGGCGAAGCCCTTGGCGGCGTTGCGGCCGTAGTTGTCGTTGACGTAGATCATGTTCACGTACGTCCAGTTGAAGCGCTCGATGAGGGATACCATCGCCTCGACCTGCGTGCGTGTCGGGTCGAAGGAGTGACGTCATCACGAGCGTAGTGGTGGCGTACGTCATCGTGAGTGTATGGCGTTTAGCGAGGGAGCGGTCAGGGGGCAGCGGTGGGGGGGGGGGGTTCACACAGCGATTTTAACGCCAGGAGTAGGGCTCATGTTTGGTTATATATTATTTATTTATTCCCAGTACGTACACCCCTCACAAATTTTAATAAATATGTATAACTTATTATAAAATTAATTTAATTAATTTAATAAATAATAAAACGACTCGTAATATACAGTAAATACACAAAACCGCATGTGATAATATCAGGAGTGCATCATATAGAGATATCTTTATATTATACACTCCTGATAATAGGGCCAATATACTTGGCGATTAGTTCTCTAAACCGTTATAAACTCTTACTGAGTTTGGTCGCGAATTTTTTGCAAAATAACATTCCCTTATAATTAAATAGTTTGAAAGCGAATTTTTACGAATTTGTACACGCACGCACGCACCTGGTATTTATATACGCACGCACGCACCTGCCATTTGTACACGCACGCACCTGCCATTTGTACACGCACGCACCTGGTATTTATACCCGCAAGCACGCACCTGGTATTTATACACGCATGCACGCACCTGGTATTTGTACACGTACGCACATGGAATTTGTACACGTACGCACGCACCTGGTATTTGTACACGCACGCACATGGCAGTTGTACACGCACGCACATGGCATTTGTACACGTTCGCATCCGGCGACTGCGTTTCGACAGCGTCTCGTACGGGCCCGTGTCGTTCACAGAGAGTGGCGAGATGCACGGCGAATACCGCATCTACCAGCTCGTCGGCGGCGTCGTCGGTGGCGGCAGCAGCAGCAGCGGCGACAGCAGCGACGTTGGCGGTAGCGGCGTCGGCAGCAGCGGCGTCGGCAGCAGCGGCGTCGTCGGCAGCGGCGTCGGCGGCCGTTTCTTCCGCGAGGTCGGCTCCTGGAGTGAGACGACGCGTCGGCTGTCGCTGGATGTCGCCGCGCTCAAGTGGCCGACGCGCGACGGAGCGGTGCCGACGTCGGCGTGCAGCCCACCGTGCGCGCCGCACCACTACGAGGTGCCGATGCACGTGCGCTGCTGCTGGCAGTGCGCCGAATGTCGCGGCGACCAGTCCCTGCTGTCAGCGAACGACCGCTGCGAATT